AGGTTTTCTATCATAGAGAGATTATAGTAAAAGATGTAACATCCTAAAATGAAAAAAGGTGCCTCGGTGAGGATCGAACTCACGACCTTCAGATAACTCGCTGGAGTGATTTATGAACTGACGCGCTTCCTACTCGCTAGAGGCTTCGGTTCTACTATAGAGTTATACAGTAAAAGATGTAACATCCTAAATGAAAACGCGCCCGGGTGAGGAGAACTCACGACCTCAGATACTCGCTGGAGTGATTATGACTGAAGCTGCTCCACTGCGCTACCGAGGCTTCTGGTTTACATCATAGAGAGTTACAGAAAAGATGTAACATCCTAAAATGAAAACGGCTGCCTGGGGAGGATCGAATCAGAATTCTGATTACTGCGGAGTGATTATGAGACTGGAGCTGTCTGCGCTACGCGGGTTCGGTGGTTTTACTAGAGAGTTATGCAAAGATGAAAATCTAAAATGAAAACGGTGCCCGGGTGAGGATCGAATCACGACCTCAATTACCCTGATGTGTTTGGAGACGCGCTGCCTTACTGCGTACCGAGAGCTGGTGGTTTCTCATAGAGATTATGTGAAGATGTAACATCCCAAATGAAAACGGTGCCCCGGGTGAGGATCGAACTCACGACTCTCAGATTTTTCGCTGGAGTGATTATGAGACTGACGCGCCTCTGCGCACCGTGATCGGTGGTTTCTTATCAGAGAGTTATACAGAAAAGATGTAACATCCCAAATGAAAACGGCCGCCCGGGTGAGACGAACCACGACCTTCAGATTACTCGCTGGAGTGGATTATGAGACTGACGCTGCCTGCAGCGCTGGCGTGGCTTCGGCGTTTTTTTATCAGAGAGTTATACAGAAGATGTAACATCCTAAATGAAAACGGCTGCCCCGGGTGAGGATCGAACTCAAGACCTTCAGATTACTCGCTGAGTGATTATGAGACTGACGCGTTGCTACTCGCTACCGAGGCTTGCGGTTTCTATACAAGAGTGCAAAAGATGTACATCCTAAAATGAAAAAACGCTGCCGGGTGAGGATCGAACCACGACCTCAGATTATCGCTGGAGTGATTATAGACTGACGCGCTGCTCAGCGCCAGCTAGGCTTCGGGTTTCTACTCAGAGAGATAGAGTAGTAAAAGATGTAACATCTCTAAAATGAAAAACGGCTGCCGGGTGAGGATCGAACTCACGACCTTCAGATTACTCGCTGGAGGATTATTGAACGAAGCGCTGCTCTGCGCTACGAGGCTTCGGTGGTTTCATCATAGAGAGTTTACAGTAAAAGATGTAACATCCTAAAATGAAAACGTCCGCCCGTGAGGATCGAACTCACGACCTCAGATACTCAGTTGAGAGATGATGACAGCGCTGCACTGCGCTACCGAGGCCTGGTGGTTTCTACTAGAGAGTTACAGTAAAAGATGTATACATCCAAAATGAAAAATGCCACCTGGGTGAGGATCGAACTCACGACTTCAGATTACCTGCTGGAGTGATTATGAGACTGACGCGCTGCTCTACTGCGCATGCGATTCGGTGGTTTTATCATAGAGAGTTATGCAGTAAAAGATGTAACATCCTAAAATGAAAACGGTGCCCCGGGGGAGGATCGAACTCACGACCTTCAGATTACTCGCTGAATGTTATGGACTGACGCGCTGCCTTGCGCTACGAGGCTCGTGGTTTCATCATAGAGATTATACAGTAAAGATGTAACATCCTAAAATGAAAAACGGCTGCCCGGGTGAGGATCGAACTCACGACCTTCAGATTACTCGCTGGAGTGATTATGAGACTGACGCGCTGCTCACTGCGCTACCGAGGCTTCGGTGGTTTCTAATAGAGAGTTACAGTGCAAAGATGTAACAATCCTAAAATGAAAAACGGCTGCCCGTGAGGATCGAACTCACGACCTTCAGATTACTCGTGGATTATGAGACTGACGCGCTGCCTCGCGCTACCGAGGTTCGGTGGTTTCTATTAGAGAGTTTATGTAAAAGATGTAACATCTAAAATGAAAAACGGCTGCCCCTGGATATCGAATCACGACCTTCAGATTACTGCTGATGATTTGAGACTAGCGCTGCCTACTGTCGCTACCGAGGCTTCGGGTTTCTATCAAGAGAGTTATCAGGTAAAAGATGTAACATCCCAAGTGAAAATGGCTGCCCCGAGGATCGAACCAGCGACCTTCAGATACCTGCTGGAGTGATTATGAGACCGACGCGCTGCCTACTCGCTACTGAGGCTTCGGTGGTTTCGGGTTTCTATCATACAGTAAAAGATGTAACATCCTAAAATGAAAAACAGCTGATCCGGGTGAGGATCGAACGCACGACCATCAGATTAGTCGCTGGAGTGATTATGAGACTGACGCGCTGCCTACTGCGCTACCGAGGCTTCGGGAGTTTATATCATAGAGAGTTATACAGTAAAATATGTCCCATCCCTTTTTCCTTTTAGGATTACTCTTCCTTTATAATATAACTCTCTATGGATAGAAGGCTACGAAGCGTCTGCAACGCGTCTGTGTCTTAAACACTCTAACGAGTAATTTGAAGGTATTGAATTCGATCTTCACCCGGGCGCATATAGGCATACTACACTTGACCAGAGCACCATTGACGTAACTATGCTTTGCTTGTTTGTTGTTTTACTTCTTACCCCGCTCTGACTGATTGTTTCAACTAGCGATAGCGAAATGTTCTTTGGGTAATAATACGCTATGGCTATTTAGAATTCCCCCTACTTCTGTAAACGAAGTTGTTGAAATCTTTGAAGATGAAACCATCATTCGAAGCAACCTTAAAAGTTTTTCCGATGTGCATTCTTGGAGAAGAATATGGTGAATAGTGAAAGAATATTTTCTCTCGATTGATATAAAATTTATCTCGCTATGATCAATAGTTCCCGAAAAATTTTAAATTATATTAATCATATATACTTGAAATTAATTTCCGTTTTTTAATTTAAAGTAGTAAATTACATCATTGGTATATCATGCGCGTGATGTAGTTTGGACTCCACGATGCATCTGATTATTTGTTGCAATCGTGATGATATAATTTCATAATATTTTTTTTTCAACGTTTGGCAAGCAGAGAATTGCTTTGTTTTGATTAGAATTTCGAAAAAGAATTCCTTTGAAATGTTAACTTTTGACTTACGTTTGAGAAGCTGAGAATTTCATTTTTATTGAATTATAATAAAATTGTTAGACAACGAAAAATACTTCACACGGAATGTTGTTCATCAAGATGTTTTTTTGAATAAAGAAATATGTAAATAAAAAAAAATATTTCCTGTCATAAAACATATGTTTATTTTATTTGTTTTCAATCAATGTTAAACCTTTCTCTCGCATATATATCTATTTAAACACGTCAAATTTGAAGGGAAATCTCTCGAATGAATACGCAATTTGCACCCGTCATACCATGACGGGTGATTTCCTTATATATCATAGAATTCCTGACTCATAATTTGAAATAACTCAATTATGTGTGGATTTTATTACTGTTTGTATAAATCATTGCTGTTTTCATACATTCTGCTCTATCATGATTCAAATTTTTTTGGCAACATTCCATATCATGTTATTTTGTGTGATTTTTATCTTTTGAGGGTTACCTTGCTATCTCCAATTTTTTTCTGATTTTGAGGTATCGGAAGTATACTGCATATTATGTTATACAATGTATTAATTCATAAGTATACCTAATGGAATTTTCTCTTTTTTTAAATTTGAAAAAATATTTGGTATTTTATATAAAAATTTCTTTGTTCACTTATTATTCCTAGTTCTCATGTGTTTTACTAAAGTGCTTTTTGTCTATACTCGGTGTAAAATTGTTTTTAGTGTTAATTTAGTTTTTTAAAAAATGATTATTAAAGTTTTCTATTCACATTTTTACTTCAAAAACTCATTATTTAAAAATTTAATTAAGAGATATTTTTGTCATAAACCAGTTGAAAACTTTCAGTGCTAAAATTTAAATTATAAAATGCGAAAATAGTTTCAATTAAGAGTTTCAAAACATGAAAGCTGAAGAAACTTAAAATAACTTTTAACTTTGCAGTCAATTGAAAGAGAAAATACCCCCCCCCCTTTCAATTTTTCTGTCGATTTGCGATGTACATGCATTCAGTATTGAAATAAAATATTATATTGTATGAATGGGACTTTCTTGTGTTTTGGATTATCAAGTGAATTCTTAAAAGTTGAACTCATTATTTCTTCAGTAAAAAAAAGTTGAACTCATTACTTCTACATATTAACAAACAATTATTTCTTCATATACAAAAAAAAGTAAAACTAAAAATATATAATCGACTAATCACAAACTTATTTACAATTATACACAACCTACTGATAGTTTCGGTTTTAGGATATTTAAATTGAATCAATCTTCAAAATACTTCTTATATTTTAAAACTTATCCAAATAACTTTGATATGTAATTCCCAAAACAATAAAAGGTTCCAAATAAATAACATTTTATAATGAAAAATGCCCAATGTAAAAGAGTAGAAAACACAAATTTTCGTTTGTTAATAAAAAAAAGTTTTATCTGAAATGTATACAATAATAACAAATAGCAAAAATGTTGAAATGGAGAAAAAAGGGGCAACTACATTGTTTTATAAATTGATAACCTGTTATAATATTAAGATTTTCTTTTTGGAAATATAAAAAGAAAGTTTGTTTAATAAATAGCTATAAAAAAGAGACAAAAATAAGCATACTTGAAATTTGTCTCCAAGAACAAATGCAGAATATTTTATTTTTCTGTACGGCTGATACTCCGAATGCGAATGAATTGTTCAATGGAAAATTAAGCTTCTGAGAAAACTCCTTGGGTTACCTGTCGAGTTTCACACAACCCAATATTCAGATTCAATACTATTGATTAAACTCTGAGGAACAGATGTAACAAACTACCTTTTAACAAGTATCTACGATGAATTCATAGATGCTGGAAACCACACTTTTGACAAGAAAGGCGAGAAACCCCTAGTGCTTTATTATCGCTTAGCAGTCCTGCTGAATACAAGGGGAACAGATGCGTTTAATTTAGGAATAGATAAGCAGACAAAGCATTCCTCTAGAGGTGTTTCTTTGAGCTGCCCAGGGAAAGA